GTCCGTATATATTTAATTTATACAGATAGTATTTATTTAATTAACAGCTTAAATCATTTCCATTCAATTAAAATCTATATAATTTACCTTATATTCAGATTCGAAAACAACAAAATGCCCAGATCCTACAACAACAGCTTCTACTACAACAGAAGGTATAACTATGAGAAGCTCTGTTTTACATACTAGTTTGTTTCTTTTATAAATAACATATGCTCCAATTTATGCTTGATTAATTAATGCATTAATTTTGGCTAAAACAGTTACACCGACCACGCCAACTACTACAACCACTCAAAAGCCAAGTAAGTTCTAAAATTAGAATTCAGAAAATCAAATTATTTTTAAATATCTAAAATGTACCTTGTTCATCTTACTGCTATTATTTAATCTTTAATTTCTGCATTTTATTTTAGGAAAACCTTGCAAGAAAGGCTAAAACAATGCGAGAAGTAAGTTGCCAACAAAATGACAAGTGCTAAATTTAATAAGCATACAGTTTTGAAGAAAGTGTTTTTTTATCACTGACTAGCTTTTATCAATTGAACTTCGAAAATTTCTTGTATCTGTATTTGAAGTTTATTTTAAAAATAACAGTGCATAGCCAAATTTTGGAAATCAAAATATAAAAAGAACTATTTTTTAATGAATGATAAAGTAGTAATCTTTTAAAATTAATTATTAAATAACAGAAATTTTTTATCTATTTAGTTTATCAGTTAATACATACATTAAACATATGCCGTGGATTACGTACTATTATTTAGGTTTCCAACAAAGAAAACAAACTAACAGAATTAAATGATTTTGTTTGTTTTACTATTTTTCAACAGGAACTTTGGCAATTGATTGAAGCCACATATTCCGTTATCTTCTTTTCTTTAAAAAATGTGATGACATAAAATACTATACATTCCTCAATTCAAAACAGTTTTTTTTAAATTCTAATTTAATTTTAAAATAAAATAGAGTTAATTATGGACGAAAATAAATTTTATTAGAATTTTTATTTTTAAATGTAGATTATTAAATGTTTTACTAAAATCTCATTTACAATAAACTTTTCTACATCACAATTTAACGTGTTTACATTTTGTATGTTGAATTAGTTATATAGAAGTGAGATGCTTTCAAAAATATGATAACTGATTAAAATTAAAAAAAAAAATCCTACTAGCCAAATGAAGTAGATTTTCAATTCAACTATTATAAGACAGAATTTATATATATATATATATATATATATATATATATATATATATATATATATATATATATATATATATATAAATTCGGTCTTATTATAGTTATATATATATATATATATATATATATATATATATATATATATATATATATATATATATATATATATATATGCACCGACGCATATTTACTTTACAATAGCATTATGTTTATGCAAAAAAACCGGGAGGAAACTCCCCTAAACTTTCTCGAAAGTTCTTATAAAACACTACGAGGGATTACAACTCGGGAAATAGACATGTTTTTAATATACTTTTAGTTACTTATACTTAATAAAATAGAATAAAATATGGTAGAAAATAAGAATTGCGGACTAAGTGAATGTCAAACATTACAAGTTTAATAGTGCGGAACAGTAGTACTTTATAAATTCTTATTAGCTTTTTGTGAAATCGAAAACAGAGTAAATTACTACTTTAAATCTACGGAAATACACTCAAAATTTGACAGAAAGGTTAGGGTTAGATCTTTTACTTACATGTGGAATTTCATTAATCTATCTGACAAAGCAGTCAAGTCTTAGGCTTTGAAAACTTGAAAGTAGAATAAGTTCCATTTTCGTTTATCGGAAATCGCTAAAAAGTTGATACTGATCTACACATTTGATATAATTCTTACGTATGAAATTTCATCAATCTAGCTGAAACGGTACTCAAGTTATCGTGTATACAGACACACATACATACAGACAGAATTACAAAGTCAAGTTTTTCCGACTTGATTACGCATAGAACGCTGAGATTTTGATAAATCTGCATTTATTATTTTTGCCCGATTAAAATAAGTCCATTATATTCCGTATATGATGAAGTACATAGTGGTATCTAAGAATATTCGAGAACATTTAGGGGAGATCACTACCGCTTATTTTTTATTTTAATTTGTGAAATATAAAAAGAATATAATTTTGTAACCCCAAAGCTTCTGAATTCATCTTGTAACCTTTAAGAAGAGGTTACAAACTATTCCACACTATCATACGCGCTTTATCATGTTCATTAGGTGCGCAATGGTTTTTAGTCATATAACTCTTTTGCATTAACAATTTTAAGTACGGAAAAATATTCATAAAAAACGTTTTAATAACAAGCTTTTATGGAATAATGCGCTAAAAAGTAAAAAAAAAATCGAAGCATTGCCATGTTTTATCGTACACATTTCACATTTAAATCTATGGGTATTCCCAATACACCATTTAAAACTATATTCAGTCAATGGTTGAGTAACATTTGATCAACTTTTGGAACTAGACGCATTCAATTATTAGTTGAGTAATAATCTATCTACATTTGGAACTAGATTCATTCGGTCAATGGTTGAGTAATGGTCTATCAACATTTGGAACTAGATTAATTTAATCAATGGCTGAGTAATGATCTATCTACATTTGGAACTAAATTAATTCAATCAATGGTAGAGTAATGACCTATCTACATTTGGAACTAAATTAATTCAATCAATATTTAAGTAATGATCTATCAACATTTGGAACCAGATTTAATCAACATTTAAGTAATGATCTATCAACCTTTGAACCTAAATTAATTCAGTCAATGGTTGAGAAATGATCTATCAGCATTTGGAACTAGATTCAATCAGTCAATGTTTGAGTAATGGTCTATCAATATTTGGAACTAGATTTAGTCAATGGTTGAGTAATGATCTACCACTGAAAGATACCCATTGGACGCTTGACTTGGCTGTAAAGACTCATCACGTGACACATTGTTTACTGACACCAGGTCAGCTGGTGTCAGGTATTCGTCATCCAGTTCCGTGTTACGTCGTGTTATCTGATTCCTCACGTCATCCTCAAAAGTTTGATTCTTTGAAAAATGTTCTGGCTCTACTATCAGGCTGTATATGGGATCTCTACTCTGTGTGAAGGTCTGATTCATCTCAACAATATGGCCGTATGGGTGACGTTCTGAAATCTCGATCTCACAAGAAGTTCGACAACTCTCGTAGTAAAGTGAGTTATCTACTCCAGCATTACCTCCCCTGTATTGTACGCTTGCACCATAGTTTAGTAATTCAGTCTGTAGACCGGCAATGGCTAATTGAAGAAGAAATCATAGAAACCCCCTGAATAAAAAATATGACATATTTTAGAAGATTGCTTTACATTATAAATTTTTTTTGTGTGTGTAGTTGTGTAGCAAAACTATTTGCTCATCTACGGTGTATTTCTATTAATAATTGTAACACAGATCTATAAGAACGTGTTACAAAACATGACAGCTAGTAACACACTATATAAAGTGTGGGCAGTTCTACTGACTTGGACCCGGATTCGAACTTGAGACATGCGGGGAAGCAGCCTAGTTCTCTACCGCCTAGACAAATCTGTCATATATTATAACGTGTAGTAACACACTATATAGAATTTACTTTTAAGGTAAACCAAATTGGTGATAAGAAACAGTTACAATATAGTGTACACACATTTACACTAAATTAGGAAAGGAAAACTATTATAACGTCTAGTAACATACTTTACTAATTATTGTGCATTTAGTCTAGAACAAATTGGCAATAACAATGTTATAATGTCTGGCAACATTTACACTTTTTATGTGTTTAGTATAAACGAAACAAGCAATTACGAACTTGACTATTGTGTAGCCTAGTAAGACATGACACTTATTGTGTATTATAAACAAAACAGTCGATTACAAACTGCTATAAACTGTAGCCTAGTAAGACATTACACTTACTGTGTATTATAAACAAAACAGTCGATTACTAACTGCTATAAACTGTAGCCTAGTAAGACATGACACTTACTGTGTATATAGTACAAACCGAACAATCCATTACAAACTATTTAAACATGTAGCCTAGAAAAACATGACCCTTGCTGTGTTTGTAGTGAGTCACCAAACAATCGATTAACAACAACTTAAAACATGACCCTTACTGTGTTTGTAGTGAGTCACCAAGCAGACGAGGACGATGACAAATATCACGACAACACCAATCACCACTGACGTAATCAGGGTCGTTACACTTAAGCCCACATTTTTTGTAGTTTGATCTGAAATAAATGTAGTTCCAAATCATCACTGCGCTATTTCCTCACGGGGGGGGGGGTGATTTGCGTTACTAAAATTAGTCTTATTTAGACATTACACTTTCACATTACTTATCTTGAACTTTGAGCTTTAAAACTTTGAACAGAGTAACAAAAAATGTGGCATTAAGTAATATACATGTCAGTAGTTAACCTTTTTGTACTGTTTATATTATCTTTCTTCTAAGCTTATAGACGGCTCAAATGATGCTCATTAGTTAAGTAGACTGGAACAGAATGACGATTACGAATGGGTTACCGATAGACGTTTGTTTTACCCCAATAGCATCGCAATAAGGGACAGCAAGTTGAAGGGACTGCATACGGTATAGAGAAAATGTTCAAATCTTGTAACTTTTAGGTTGGAAGATGTGTGCTCTACTTCTTAACCTCGCTTTCTCTTACTTATAAAACCAACAACCGGGGATCATTAATAATATTTGTGTTACGATTCAAATTAATGTGAAAAAAACATCCAATATTTAAACTTGCTATTAATTTGCTATTAGTAAGACAATGAATTAAGACTTATTGTAAGACTACCATCTAGCACTGACCTTCTTTAAGTTTTAACTCCAACAAGTGCTTCAGTCTCTCATTCTTCATGTTCTTTATTGTAATGACGTAATATCCGACGTCATCGAAAGTGACGTCGTTTATCCCTACGCCTACGTAAGTTTCTCCAGTATTTGGGTCATACGTCACGTGACAATAAACATGACCACTATGTTTTTTGACGTCACATATGTCGCCATTTATTCCAACATATTTGTGAATGTCAATGCTTGACTGAAGACAAAATGTGACATTCAGATTCTCACCCAGCATGACATCAAAGGTTGTCACTGGCTTGTAGTGACATAGACGGATCTGACCTGTTAGAGATTATACTTTTTTGTTTTAGTTTAATTTTCATTTTTAGCTATAACTCATCAATCTTATCTGGCCATAAAAGAATACAAATCACGTACACAGAATCATTAAATTTCGAACATGTATAACAATTTTATATGAAATACATATACTGCTTATCATTTGGCTTGTAAGAATATATTTTATAACTACGCCTATGGGTAATCCACGAATAACGTCACGTTTTTTTTTTCAAGAAAATATTTAATTTACTTTAAAATTTTCCATCGTGAGGAAATGAATCTAACAACTCAACCCATCCTTTAAATGATGTCACATTCTTGTCTAACACAAGTGGCGTAGCGACCCTTCCCGGCAACCGGAGACAACATTTCAGACTTTCGATTTGATCCCCCCTCAACCTTTCAATTTATTTTTCCATCCCATTTTGGCGCCCCCTAAGGTCGGCGCCCGGAGACATGTGTCCCCCCTCGCTACGCCTCTGTCTAACACACCCATCCAAACTACATATTTTTGTCGTAAACACCACTATTTATTTTTGTTTTAAATACTGAGCTCAATAAACAATAAGAATTTTGATCGATGTTTATAACTATTTTTTAAAAAATGAGCTGTTTCTATAAGCGCGAAATAACGGCTTTTTTTTTCTTCTAAAATGCAAGTGTGTCGTTACCCCCCGCATCTCCCCCCCCCCCCCACATACATCGTCACACATCGTAACCCATCGTCACACATCGTCACACATCGTCACACATCGTCACACATCGTCACACATCGTCACACATCGTCACACATCGTCACAAATGTAGTAGTTTCATCTATTTCTCACCCCCTCCACCTTACGATTGACTTCATATATAGACGACAAACCTAACCTGTAGTAAGGAAATCAAATACAAGACATTAATGATATTAATGTCGACAACTCTAACCTGCTCTGTAGATGAAACTAAACTCCAACATTTCTCCTGAACCTGAGCTTAACCATCCAACATAATTCATATTTAACGTCACGTTATCTATCATCACACTGACGTAATACATCTGACGACTGTCATCTGTGAAATTATTGACCAGCATATTGTCCATCTTACTGTTAAATCTTAGGTCAGCCCCATTAATGTTTACAAAGTCGACAGGGCTGTTTGGAGAGTATGCACACAATAGAAGAGGCTGACTTGTTCCACTGTCTAGGAATATTTCCTGAGATCTCATATCAGGGTAACAGAACCTTAGTGTTCCTAGGGTAGATGAATACAAAACTATGTAGTGCACTTAATAATGTAATATCACTAGTGTTCTCAAAGATCATATTAGATTATATGAATCATATTGATTTTAATACCATAAATAATGATAAAATGTATTGTTTAAAATATTAGTATTAAAACGTCATTTGTACATATATATGTATATGTATATATATATATATATATATATATATATATATATATATATATATATATATATATATATATATATATATATATATATGCAAATATATTCTTCATATTTTTAATTGAAAGATATATGATTTAAGCTTAAAATTTTAATAAAAATATGCTCTCTTAAAGAAAATGTATTTCATAGTGCATTTAACGGAAAATAATATGTGCATTAAAAATTTATTTTTAAATGTAGATGTTTAGATCACATAAATCACGACTTATCCATTCTTCTATTATTGTTTTTGTGACCAATGAACGGTGTCATTTACCGTTTTTCCAGGCACTGTTTTCCCACGCATGCGTCGTTTCAATACAAATGAGACTTTCTAGACAAACATAAATTATATGATAAATAGTTATTACACATTCCAGCTTAATGATAATGAGTCGTTCATAGCTATTTAACAAACATTAATTTCATTAATTGTCTGTTGTTGAAAAAACACCGTTTACTGACTATAAATATTAAATAATTCTATTATTTTTTTTTTAAATTAAGACTTTTTTCTTTTAAATTGACCATTGATCTTCAAGTGTTAAAAAAAATATTATAGTGCATGCACTTTTTAATTAATCTTTTAAACTTTAAACTGTTTTTTTTTTGTTGAATTATTAGTAACTGTTATTACCAAATGTTTAGCCTGTGATGTTAAAATTAGTCTTTAATTTTTTTAATAACCTACTTGACATCGGTAATAGGCTTACCTTGTAATATCATTATAGCAATCAAAACGACACGTTTTGTGCAAATCACTAAAGACGTCATATTTGTTAGAACCTTCGTCTCAGTACTCCATCATTAGCCTATTGAACTAACATCGCGCTTTTACTGCAACCGATATTTTACTTGAACAATATAAATGAAAAAAATTACAACAAGTTTTTTTTTTAATATTAGAAGTAGGATAATACACAAACGATGTAGCAGAGAGACATAAGTTGAAGAGTCATTAACTTCTGCTTTAGCTATAGCGTGAAGGAAAATAAATAATAGGATGGCAATGCAACAAAGACGAAAAGAGGATACAGTTGTATCAACACTATATGTAGTATCTCCTAACATTAAATTCACAAGTAATAAAAATTTATATTATTTGTATTGAAATGAATAGCTGAATTAGTTGAATTGGAAATTAGAGAAGTTATAGACAGAGTGAATGTTTCTTAAAATGACTTTCATATGTACTATGAAAGTTAATATTAGTTTCGTTTTTGAGGTGCACATTAAAAATATTTTGTATTCACATTTTTCAGGTATAGAAATTTATAAAACACGTCATATATCCGGTATTGACACAAATTCTAAATGCAGTTACTAATCAAATACATTTAATACTTATCATTGGCTATGAGATGCTGTTATGAACAATTTGTTCGCGTTTTTTAAGCTATTGTAAAAATGGGCGTGTCATCGAGTCAATTTTCATCTGAGTCAACACTTAATATGTTTCGTTTGATTTCCGTCCCCGTCCACCTCCCAGTCCCCCTCCCCGTCCCACATCCCCGCCCCCTCACCTAACCACTTATAACTTCTCCGTCTTGTACCCTGGGACTGAGCTGTTGCAGACATTACTGTGATGATTCACTAAAACTTTCCTTGAAAACAATTTTCCATTAGCTGCGTTGTATAATCAGTATGGGTTTTTATTGACATAAATCAGGTCATAGTTCAAGTGAAGTACGCCCTCACATTTCATTTCAAGTGCTCATTGAATTTTAAATTTTACCGTTCATTATATATTTGTATATAAATTTTTATGTAACTAATAAAAAAAATCATTTCTATCTAGAACTTAACGAAACAATAACACCTCCCAACTTTACAGTACATAAAGCTACTAGCCTCCATAACTTTCGACCGCCTAACATCATGGCGGATATCATGTGAAATAGAATTGTACGGGGAAATGAACCAATAATGGCTATGGCATCTTTCTAAGTAAGGGGTCATCCATAAACGACGTCACGCTTTTTTGACGATTCCCCCCCCCTTCCGTCGTCACAAAAAGCCAGCCCGCCCCCCTAACTGACGTCACACCTCAGCCTACAACCCCCTCAAAATTGCAGTTGAATTATTTTTTTTTAAACATCGATATTTTTCCAAAATCTTGTCTGAAATATGACAAAATAGAGTATTTTAATCAATTCCTATTATAATTTATTACCACTGTTTTCTAAAACGCTAAATAACGTCTAAAATTCGTTTTCTAACATTTCTTATCTATAAAGCAAAAGTGTGACGTCGCACCATCTGAACCCTCCCCCCTCCCCCTCATCACACATCGTCACAAAATTACCGACCCCCCCTCCACCCTCCCCCCTACGAGTGTGACGTCATTTATGGACGACCCCTAAGTGTTATGAAGGCCTCAATGAGGTATTTGTCTCACAATTGTCTATTTAGAGTGTTTTCCTCTGAACGACATCAATAGGTAGCGTTGGTCACTCAAAGACTTCTGTAGCTAAGCTTCCTAAATGCAACTGTAATACTTCCCACTGAATCACAAAAAGAAATCTACTTTCCTTTTCAAAAAACAGTCTAGATCCTCGACTTAGTAGACGATTACAATATGGTGGAAAAAAAATTAAGACTTCAAATTTCAAAGCCCAATTCATCACAAACTATCTTCGATCAATACATCAACATGTGGATGCTAATAGATTCCATTTCAAAAACGTTTGATGCGTATATGAAAAGTCTGTTGTAATCAACAAATCAGATTTCTAATCGATTATTTCTGAGTTTGAAGTGTAGGCCTACTTCCTTGTGGAATAATTCAAACGATGGCGTCCTAGTGCACTGCTAAAAAATAGCATTGCAGCATTGTGTCGTAATCGTTCTGGCTGTACATAGGCAATACGAATGGAAGTTTTCAAAGTGTCTTAACTTAGATGCCAACTAATCCATCATGTTATCCACTCTTTTAATTTTTTGCAATTTGTAGTTTGTCCTTAGGTAAGTTACATTTTAACACTTATTTCAGCGGGTGGTTTATTATTTTATTACTGTGTTAAAAAGTTATCTGAATTATCTATCTTATGAGTGACATAAATGTTATGAACAATTTGAAAATATTTATTGTTTACGGTGCATCGGTATGCAAACAAAAGTGATTTAAATTCACAAATTCATGTTTTTATGTCACATCACAGTATAGTATGGAAAATATTATTGGTCATGAAACGAAATAACATATTTACCAATAGTGTATTGTAATAACATAAACTTGGTTTTGATAAAATAGAGAATAAAAGCATGCACTAATTTATAGCTACGGCTTTGGGGTTGTGTGGGTAGCAGTAGAGTGACCGACTGCTAACAGAAAAGTCTCAAATTCGGGTCACAGTTAAAGGTTAATGTGGCTTGCCTTAGTCCAGGGGTCGGCAACCTTTTGAGAAGGAAAAGCCGACCCATGCCTTAGTCCATGGTTCTGTTGTTCACTTTATGGAAGGTCAAGGATTTTGGTCATACAACAGACCATATTGTTCTTTCACAGGTGAAGAGAAAAAAGTTCAGCCTCGCTTGACTTATAGTGCTGAACAAACTATCCCTTCATATAACGAGCAAACAGAAACAGGTGAACTCTACTTCACTTGTTCCATGGACCGTTGGGTTCTAAAAGGGAACTGTACTTTACTTTTGTCCTACTGAATGTTAGATTGAAAATAATGTATTTTTACTCTTGCACATTTGAATCAAAAGGGATTAGTCGGATATGTAAATTGGGTTCAGAACAGGCATTTAGATAAGTACACGGCTAACTGTTAGGGCTAACTGTTAGATATGGTATTCTGAGAGACCCAAGAGTAAGTTTTATATGAGGTAATCATAGACACACTGTGGTAAATTTTAGAGAAGATGATCAGATATGCAGGGGTAACATGAATTTGGTAATTATATATATATATATATATATATATATATATATATATATATATATATATATATATATATATATATATATATATATATATATATATATATATATATATATATATGGCTACAAGACATTACCCCCTGGATATTTCCCCCCCGGACATTTCCCACCCCGTATTTACCCCCCGGAGCAATTACCTCCCTGTCAATTAACCCTCTGTTAATTACCCCCCCCCCCCCCCCGCGGAATTACCCCCCCCCCCCCCCTCTCAAGTTAAAATCCTAACTTCAACTAGAATTTTATACCTGTATACTACTTTAATCCAAACCTTAAAAAAAGACCAAAACCTAAGCATCCACCTTAGCCAAACCAAAACCAAAGCTAGACACAACCCTAACACTAGCTCTAACCCTAACCCTAACCCTAATCTTAACCCTAACCCTAACCCTAACCCTAACCCTAGCCCTAACCCTAATCCTAGCCCTAAAACCTAACCCTAGCCCTAAAACCTAAACCTAGCCCTAAAACCTAACCCTAGCCCTAACACTAACCCTAACCCTAACCCTAACCCTAACCCTAACCCTAACCCTAACCCTAGCCCTAGTCCTAGCCCTAAACCTAACCCTAACCCTAAACCTAAACCTAGCCATAACCCTAACTTTAACCCTCTCCGGGGGGGGGGTGTAATGTCCTACTGGGCGGGGGGTAATTAACAGGGGGGTAAATGACAGGGGGTTAATTACTCTGGGGGGGGGGTAATGTCGGGGGGGAAATATCCGGGGGGTAATTGACAGGGGGAAATGCCCTGTTCCCATATATATATATATATATATATATATATATATATATATATATATATATATATATATATATATATATATATATATGTATATGTATATAAACAAGGGTAATTGCTAGAGAAAATAGACAAATGATAACTGTTGAAGATGATAATCATAGACTGGTAACAAAACTAAAGCTGTTGTGCCATCATACAACACCCCTCAGTTTTACCCCGGCCATCTAAAGTGACCATTACTCTACTTGCCCATAGTTTGTATCGTGTGCAGCATGCTCAGATATAGAAGGCTCGACACATCTCAATCAGAAATGTTTTAAAGTTTATAACACATTGCTCAACTGGACCTTAGCCCAGGTACGATGACAAGAACACCTGTATACATGCGTATATCTCATCTTCCTTTGTCTCGTAGTTTAGGATGATAGAGAAGTGGCACTATTGCCTTTTTAGTTCGTGTACATCCCTCTGGCTTTGGCCGTCATCAGTGCCTTTACCAATTATAAAAGTCTTATCTTACCAAGACTCGTGGTGGAATCCAGGTTAACCGGATAATGCAAACGGCAACAGAAATTGTTTGGAAGTCGTCCGTTGTATTTAACTGTTTATGGTATTGGTATAAACCCTGATAATTAAACTACACTTTATACATTTAAAAAGAAATAACTCACCAATCTTGCTATTAGATGTAACTGTTTAAAACAATACAGACTGTTAACCAGTGACGACGAGTAATACACAGAAATCCTTATAGAAACATTGACACAAATTACCTTGGCCTCTGTCCAAGTAACGTTGACATTGTAGTAGATAAAACATTGGTCGTGTGTTATTATTGATCCAGGCATTATATCGTCACACACAGTTGAGATCAAATCTAACAGTGTAGGTAGTTTGAAATGATACATCGAATTAGATATAGCTAAAACAAGATAAAGAATTACGTAAATAAATCTCAGTAACACTTAACGACTTGACACAAGAAAAGTTTCCCTGTATCACATCTACATTATAACAGTTATTGACCGACAGTGACTGTCACCTGCCTAATTGACCGACAGTGACTGTCACCTGCCTAATTGACCGAGAGTGACTGTCACCTGCCTAATTGACCGACAGTGACTGTCACCTGCCTAATTGACCGACAGTGACTGTCACCTACC